CAACTCATCTATTGCAAACTCCAAGACAAGAAGGGAAGCCAATGCATGATCATATTGAATGAATGAACAAAGATGCACACCACAGAATTAGGACATAAATCATGTATGTTAAATGACTTTCACAGCCATGACAATGCAAAAGAATATTTTTGAACTGAAATTAGCCGATAGACCCACGGATAAAAAAACACATGTTGATACAGCATCTTGATCCTTAATCTAGCTTTCATGAAATGGATAGAAATCTCACAAGCTTCTAACACAAGCAGAGTTTGGTCACTCAAGTTGTTTCGGAATGGAAGTGGCAAAGGTAAAAGAACTCAATTTCATATAAATCTGCGACCGGTATCTTTTTACATGTAAAGAATGAATAAAATGTTCTGAGAGCCTCAATGCGTTCCTTTTCATCTTCCCTACAAGGCCTATGATCAGATGTGAGAGCCTCTGCAGTGCCAGCTCCACAAAGAACAGCTCAACAATCTCCAGCGTTAGACACCAAGTGGTTGCCCTTTCTAATCAACGCAGTTTTCCCAGCATGAGCTGCCTCGTGATTCCTCATTCAAAAAATCAAAATCAGTCTTCAAGAAACCATGCTTCACAGCGTCTCTGTTTCATCCTCGTCTCTTCTCACCACTTCATCTCTGATATTCTTATTCATGTTTTCCGCGGCAAACTCAGCAGCATATTCAACAAAACTTGAGCGCATTGCAAAAAGCTGTCACTCATGGAGAAGACAATGTAAGGAAGATGCAAATTTATCTTGTGTTCCCATTGCACTCGTTAAAGTGTGCTTTCGCAAGGGAATCAAATGCAAAGCCATTTGAACTTTGCAAGATAAATTAAAGTACGATTAACCATCAGAACGCAAAAATCAAATGCTAAAGTCACTTTGTGAAACTTTTAGCTGACCAAGAGAATTTGATTAACTGAGACACCCTTAGCAGTTAACTTTCTCCACTAAAGTTCTAAATTTTGCTTTGTGCCAGCGAGTCATTAGCATGTCCACCAACACGCTCAATTAACTTCGTAAATGAATGATCTTTATCAGATCGCATCGCGCAAGAAACAGGGGACAAGCACAACAGTTGTTATACACGTAGAAGCAAACAAACAAAAGGGAGGGGTTTACTCACAGCATTTGGAGGATTGATATCCATGGAAGTCACCCAGCATGCAAAGAGAGAGAGAGAGGGGCAACAAACGACAAGTCTCTGCTATCTTATTTCCAGGTAAGTGGGGTCGATGATGAAAAGCTTCAAGGAAAAAGACTGATCATTTGGCTTCTGGGTATTCTTACACAACAGCGGCACGCTTTTAACAAGGAAAAACTTTACCAAAACCGAAACTTTCTTTTGTTGGATTAAACCAAAACTGACAAATTGAAATGTCGGTTGAGTGTTCGAATCCCGGGTGCCGCAGGGTGACTTAACCGGTGCACGTATGTGGTGGCTAGCACGTGTCGCCCCCAGGGTTTACCTCCCGGCTGTCGGCCGTGCAGGGGTTCCCTGTGTTACCAAAAAAAAAAAAGACAAATTAAAATGTCTACGATTGGATTTCTGGGGGGTGGTTCATCCAAAGTATGTTCTTTTCGGGGGGAGGAAGAGGAGGAGAGGTGGAAGACGACCCTCCATCGCGGCCGTTGCCGGACCCCAAGGAAGAACATGCAAATGAGAGAGAGAGTCCCAATGCGGAGGCGACGAGGCGGAGGCGGAGTCTGAAAATATAGTTTTTCTTCTTATTCCAGATCAGAGCCACATGTCGCCCTACCAGTGGATCCACGTGAGTTTATGCACGCCACGTAGGCACGTGACGTGACATGCATAAATCACTTAATATTTTCCCCTATCCAAGGGTCTCGAAGCCCTCCTTGGGGCGTTGCTTGCCCTCAATTAGACTTCTTGAGCCCTTGCCTGTGGTGACAAGGTCGGCGCCTCCTCTCACTAATTTTATTTCTTATGTTATTGTCTATTGTCTTTTACTTTTTCTTTATTAATATTAAATTTATAAAAAAATAGAAAAGTAAAAGTTAGGTAGGTCAACCATCACGTGAGCAAAATTACAATAATTAGTGGCGATTAACTAATCTAGAATACATTTAGATTAAAGAGGTTTGACCAGCTCAAGATTGAATTGTTTTGGGTCGAAGTTTCAAAATTCGTGAAGAAATTTAGCCTATGTAGAAGGGTCAATCTCAAGAAGTTCAATCCATATATCACCATTAAATAAAATAAAAAAATTAAAAGAATCTTACCATATATTAGATAATAACCCTATAAAGAATATATACTTGATGATCTAGATTTATAGTTAGGATAAAATTAGATAAGATAGGATATAAAATCCAAAATTTTGTTATATCCAATCCACAATTTGGTGAATCGTAATAATAAAATCGGATATTTTCATATCCTATCATATACATTATTTGGTATGAATAGCATATCGATAATGAACATGAAATTGAGCAAACGGAGATGGTAAGAATTTCTTATAATTCACTGCTAAAGAAATAATAAATGCAGAAACAGAGATCACCTCCCTCAATTGATCTATAATTATTGTACGATCTACGTCTTAAACTGAAAAGGAGCTTATTGTAGCATTTCAGAGTCCTAGGTTCAGACTATGAGAAGAAATTTATACAGGTTACAGCAACATCGATGAGGTATATCAGTCAACATACGCCAAATCTAATAAAAGAGAGAAACATGATTATTCAACTTTGCAATTCCGAAAAATATATTGCTTTGACTCTCTTAACATTTTCGTGAAACTTCAATATAAACCACAAAGTTACGGAAAAGAAGGAGATTGAACTTTTTTGTTACTTTCGTGAACTTTTGATGTGAACCAAAAAGTTACGGAGAAAAATGAGCTTCGACTCTCTCATCGTTTTCGTGGAGCTTTGACATGAACAGAGAACTCTAAAGGAGTCGCGAAGCTTTAACATGAATTAGAAATACGAAGGAGAAGGAGACAGGGAGAATTAGAAAAATCCATTTCAAGTTTGAATTTGTTCAGTTAAAATCGGGGTTCTTCTACTTCATTTTTATTTACTTATTTTTAATTATTTTTCCTCGCTTTTTATTTCTTATTATTACCTTCCATCATTCCTTAATAGAAATTTTATTAAATAATAAACTATACTAATATACCTCAAATATGTATAATATATAGATACTAAATATATATACACAAAATATATATTACATGATAGAAAAAAAATTAAAATTATATAAATAAAAACGAAATTTGTCCATCAAATTTTTTTTGCTATTTTGAATTTTCTTTTGTTATATTAGAATCCAAATATTATTTCATATTTGATTATCATTTTAATTTTTTTTAGGTCAAGAAGTTTGTTATTCAAAAAAATAACTTTTATATCACAGAGATAAAAAAAATCACATTCACATTTATCCCACCTCCTCATGATATATATTTGGGAAATTATCAAATAAGGACCCAAAGTGGGTGCCTTTTTTCAAAAGAGGACCTCAAGTGGACAAGGTATCAATTAAGGACCCAAAGTGCCAAACTAGTATCAAATAAGGACCTGAGCTCGCAGCCGGCCAAATGTTCTCCGCCGGCGACCGGCCGACATTTCCGTACCGGAATAGGGGCAATTTTGTCCATTTTTTTTTTTTTTTTTTCTTCTTCCCCGGTCCCGTCCGCAACCGGCCCGAGCCAGTGAGGCCGGCGAGAGCTCGAGCTCGCGGCCATCTGGGCGAGCTCGGCCATAGTTTAGAGGGACGCATGTAACAAGAACGTCCGAAAACACAGAATGATTTTAACGGTACGAAGACAACGTAATATGTGCAACCGAGGACGAATATGAATATAATAACGACAGTAGTCAAGTAAATTGAAACATTCGATCCCAAAAAAAAAAAAAAGGTAAATCGAAATCGGCCCCTCAATTCCTGCGCGGTCTCTCCCACGCGCTCCGAGCTGCGCGTCCTCCACACGTCCTCCCCTCTTTCAAAATTTCACTCGTTTTTTTCTTGCTTCAATTTCCACGTCACCATTTAACAAAACGCAGCTTTAGCCCCCTCCAAAAAAAAATGGGGCTAATTCCAAAAAAAAAACACAAATCTTAGGTCGAGTGACAATTTTGACCCTAACTTTTTTTTATCTCATAAAAAATTATTAACTTTCACTCTTATCCCAAATCTAGCCCTCCGTTGACTTTTTGTCTGAAATCACCCTTATTTGAGAAAAAAGGTTATGGTGGTAAGCTTGGCGGATTTCGTCCATGGACGGGCGGTGGTCCACAACTTCAAATTACGACAAAACGACGAAGTCTTATCACAGAGATTCAATTTAGGTGAAGGAGATGCAAACTGTGACTTAGAGAAGAAGATAATAAATAGTGTTTTAAATCCAGTCAACAAGCTACGTGGATTTATTGCTAATGTGGAATAATCAAGTTGGATAATCAATGATTCTAAGTTGAGGGGGCCAGATTTGGGATTTAAGTGAAAGTTTGTGATTTTTTATGAAACAAAAAAAATTGGGGCTAAAATTGTCACTCAACTTAAAGTTTGTGCTTTTTTAAGAAAAAAAAAAGTTGGGGTTAGAATTGTCACTCGACTTAAAATTGGTGTTTTTTTTTTAGGAATTAGGCCCAAAAAAATGGTTAATATCATGAAAAATCCCAAATTGGTACACCCATGACAATTTTACCCTCTATTAGTTTCCGTTAAATTTTACCGTCAAATTTTTAAATTGGATGACAAGTGGCAGTTATTTGAGATCACAAATATATCGGTTTATAGTTTTTCGTGATATTAATTCAAGTTAACGGAAAGTAAATTTATCACGAATGTACTAGTTTTGAATTTTTAGTGATCAATCAATTAATTTTTAGTAAATTTGTCACGGTGGACTAGTTTGAAATTTTTCGTGATTAAAAAATTACTTTAGAATGAATTTATTATAAATGTACCAGTTTAGAATTTTCCACGATATTAATAAATAAATAAAAAACATGCCGAACTTTTTCGGTTGCTGCTTCGCTGTTACCACCTGACGACACATTTCGCTCTCAATTCTCTCTCCCTCCCTCGCATTCATCGATCGCCGCCGTAAGCCTCGGTTCGCCATGCCGTCGGACGCGAGGCCCTGACATGAACCCCGCCCTCTCCTCCACGTCCTCCCTGTCGGCCCCCTCCTCGGCGTCGGCGGCGGCGGCGGCGGCGTCGTCGTCCGCCGCCTCCTCTTCGGCGCCGACCTCCTGGTTCGCCGGCATCGTTCGCGGCCGCTCCGACAAGCCCGGCGGAGCCAGGATGTCCGGGAGCTCCGCCTCCGCCGCCGACGCCGCCGGCCCGATCAAGGGCAAGAACCAGTTCCGCGGCGTGCTCTTCAAGTACGGCACCAAACCGATTCAGGTCCGGTTCTTTCCCTTCTTGCTGTTCCGGTTCAGATCAGGTCCGTGGGAATGTTTGATTGGCTTCGTCTGGGTTGGTGATTGGATTTGAAATGTTCGTGTAGTGGAGCTAGAAGTGAATGCGCTATTGGGTGGCATCTGGAGTGGAAATGCAATTTTGACTGGAATTTGGTCTCGTTAGATTTCAGTTCTTCCTTAGCTGTTGAAGATTGTTTGTATCGCGGACCAGTGAAAGAGATTGTTTATGTTCGATGAATTAGCATGAGGATAGATGCGGTGGTGTCTTGTGAAGTACTGGAATGTGGAGGGTCTATTTCCAAATGTTTAGATGCAGTCGTGTCTTGTGAAGTAATGGAAATGGAGGGTCTATTTCCAAATGTTTTTGTTCACTGGTGGCGCATAGAATCATTAGAGTGACCAAGTGTTTCTTCGCGGTATGCTTCATTAGTTGGTTTCGAAAGTATCTGTAATTGTGAAATGCAAAAGATAGAAACTGTTCAGCTGCATACTGTTAACATTATTTGAAGATTCTACGGACTTTTGAAGAGAGAAGATATGAAAAGATATGTCTTTGGCATGAAGCAGATCGGGTGACATTACATGAAAGGTTTCTCTTTTACACTTGTGTCCAGTATTTCGAGTCTTCATGTGGATATAGTTATTATAACAGCCCTATCGAACCTCCAAATATTAGTGACAGAGCTGCAACAAAGTAGATAAAGTGAAATTACATGAGGATTTCTCTTTTGTCACAAGTGTCCTGTATTTCGAGTCTTCGTGTCAAAATGGTTGTTACAATGGCCCTAGCGAACCTCCTCAAATGAGTGATAGAGCTGCAACATATGAGCTTGCAACTTTTAAAAGAAGTGACAGTCTTACACCAAACCCAATTAACACATCCGTTCATGGCGGTACTTTTGTTCCATGTATCGCTTGAAGGCAGTTGTTGTCTAGACGCTCGCTTGAGGAAGCCTCAACCTTCAGGATATGCTTGATCATCTTAAAAGCTTCACGGCTGCTAGGTTCTCCTGTTAACGATCATAAGTTGATTTTTCTTATGCATCTCTGCATGCAGGTTGCATTTAAAACAGGTGAATACAAGCAGCAAGTCATTTTCATTGGCGGTCTCACTGATGGTTTTCTGGCGACAGAGTATGCCTTACCTTAACTGTACTATAGTTTAACTTTGTATTTTAAAAAGGATGCCATTTCTTTTTGACAGTGGTGCAATTTGATTTCTGAGAAATGTTCTTTGAAGGTTTAGGTTTGCTGTTTCCATTAATTTGTCAAATGGCTGGTGACATTGTCTGTACAAATCTACAGGTACTTGGAACCTCTTGCAATTGCTTTGGACAAGGAGAAGTGGTCACTTGTTCAGTTGCTGATGTCTTCTTCTTATTCTGGATATGGCACCTCCAGCTTGCAACAAGTAACATTTTTCTCTCTCAAAAGTGCTCTTTATTCCCATCTGCTTCTCTTGTGCTCTTTATTATTGCATTACTTCTCGCAGGAGCCATTATGAGACTCTGTATATATGAAGACCCATAGTGTCCATTAAACATATGTACACACATGAGCGTGTGCCATGTACCCATCCATTTGTTTGTGTTTAACACAATGTTTATATGCTTGTCAGCACACATGGGCTTTATGTGCTCTTGTGCAAGCTGCAGAGCCAATACAAGCAATATGCTGTGCTGCATCGATTTTTCTATAGCCTTTGGATCGTTGAATTGAGCAACATAAGTTTTCGCATTTCACTATGTTGATATGCTGTTCCTTTTCTTCTGATTGTGATGAGCTAATACCCTATCCTCATATGCTGTTGATTTTCGATCGAATATTCTTCTACTTTCCTTCTAATTAGTTTGTTAATCTTATCACTTATCGCCAATCCATGTCTGAAGCAAGTTTAGAAGTTTTTCCGTATGTTCTTGATAGTTGGGTAGGATTTATGGTTCAAGAAGAATGCAACACTGAATTCTATGGTTATCTCGGGTACCTGTCAATGTTGGAGCATTATTGAGTCTAGGTTGACCGTGTGCCTGTTTGGATCTGGAAAAAATGACACTAAATCTTTTTAGTTATTCATATACAAAGTTAGTGAAACCTTTGACAAGTTGAACACATTTCAATATGTTACTAATGCATTTGGTCAGTCTAATGGTCCTTGTTTACCAAGTTGATTTAAGCATATGATGGATGCCAAAATATTGGCATGGCTATATTCTTTTATCATATTCTTCATTTGCATAAAAAGGACTTTGCTTATGGTTCTTGAAATAACTAATTTGAAGGATGCCACGGAACTTGATCAATTAATCAGCTATTTAATCAACAAAGAAGATTCTGAAGGTGTGGTACTTCTTGGTCATAGTACTGGCTGTCAGGTTAGTGCTGATTGAGTTGTTTACTGGTTCTTTAAGTGTTACCTTCACGTAGAAATAGATTCATCCTACTTTTGTGGAAACAAAACTAGGATATTGTGCACTACATGCGTACAAATGCTGCCTGTTCGAGAGCTGTCCGCGGTGCCATCTTGCAGGTAGTTACTGATCTTTTTTATGGAAATCTTCTTTTGCTGTTAAGCTACATAGAGCTACATGAATTTGCTTGAAGTGGACACAGTAACATTCTCTCGTGGCTTGGGTGGCATGGTGATCTAGTTAATAGTTGTTTGAGCAAGTAGCTATTCCATGGCATAGTAGTGATTGGCGGTTTTCCATTTCTTTCCAATTTTCTTCTTTTCTTTAGTAGTAGCTGTTGCATGATCCAAAATTTCTATGTTTTAGCACCAAAAATTGGTTAATATCATGAGACATCTTCAGTTTCATTACCAGTCTTACCATTAATATGAACCACGTCTATCATTATACTGATTCAATCGTCATCACTTTGTATATATCCTGTCCAAATGGTGAAGCGAGCCAGATAACCTACTAAACATGAAGTGACGTCAAAATTCCGAAGTCAGTTAAATAGACAATTTGACGAGTAGCGTATGCAGCAAGTCACATTGAATACCACTTGAATGGGAACTAGCTAATTGAATAATGGATTTTGTTGCAATGCAGCAAAAATGTGTCTTCGGCAGGCACTGTGTAACGTGCTGCATCATCTTGATTGTACAATACGCCCAGACACATGACTTTTTTGAGAGTTTGAACTTGACCGAATAAAATGATGAGAGTTGAATGATTCTGCAGAGTATAGTAGTGAGAATAATTCTACCGAGTCCAGCAGTGGAAATAAAAATGGTCCAAAGTCGAATTTCGTCCCTTAATATTGTAAAAAGGGATTTTAAATCTTTGCCTATTTACATATATTAAATCAGAACATAAATCTCATATATACCAAATTTGAGAGGTGAGGACAACCTAAGAAGAAAAGACAAGTTATAAAGGAGGAACAACCTCATTCTGTTGACACCGGTACCAATGTGGGGTTAACCAGTATCGTGCGGGCATAGGCTACACAAATATCAGTTTAGATCTATGAACTTCTTAAAGATGGACCACATATCTCTTACCTAAATCACCATTGTGACTACTTGTAGTGTCCGGAAATAACTGTATTGAGCTTTTTGGAACTTTGTTCCCGCCTTTTCAGACAGTATTCTGCATGAACTTCTCTACAAAGTTCATGACATGCTTGTTTATAATCTCCAAGATACAATTTGCTAGATAGTCTGTGGAATGTAGTTTTTCTGGGATAAAATCCTGAAGAGAATTCTCCTGTGAACTTTATGCCCTGATATGCAATTGCTGATGGTCTGAACTCATTGTAGACTTTCCTTAAGGCCATTCATTTCACTGTCTAACAGGATCTGAAAAATTGCTATATGCACGACACTGATGTAAATCTGCATGTTATCCTTGTTTGCCTTTGTGTATATGGTTACATCTGCAGTAAATTTCCATCTACCATCCAAAAGTTTCCATGTCATGCTTTCATACTACTTTGGTCCTTTAATTTGATCATAATCTTTGTAATGACTCACTAAAGATGAAAGTATGCTCTTTTGATTTTGCCTGAAAGAGTTGTTAATTTATGCTCAAACTGCCATATGATGGTTTTGCTCTCATGCACTGAGTTTTTACAATCCACTGACGCTATCTAAAAGCTTGTGGCAAGTGAATACCCACTTGATCTATCTAAAAGTTACTTTTTTCATTGACTTAACACTTGCAATTTCATTCAATCACAAAAGTGAAGTGTTTTGCATATTCTGGATCATAAAAAGATAAAAGTTTTAGACTAGTGTTGATGCAGTACCTGTAGTAAGGTGGGGTTGGTTGAAGCCCGTGTTATGTAGTTCCACAGTAATAAAGTGGGATTTGTGGAAGCTTTCCTTTAGCAAGATATGGTAGCCCTCCTGAATCCATCATTTAGTAATGATGGAAAGTCTGTTCCGACAATTTAGCAGACATTTAACCTTTCTATAAACACTTGATGATAGGGTGTAGTGGAGATGCTGAAGAAACATCCCCACCTACGGTGACTCCTTGATTATATATATTTTAGAGATGCAAACATTTGGATTTATCCTTGGGCAATAGACTAAACTGCTGTCCGTGTGTGTTACTGATTATTTGTGTACTAATGCAAATTGGATATTTCAGGCCCCAGTTAGTGATCGTGAATACAAAGCAACTCTTCCAGAGACTGCTACTTTAATTGACTTAGCTTCAACCATGATAAAAGAAGGGCGAGGATCTGAGCTGATGCCCAGAGAAGCAGATGAAAGCTCTCCAATTACTGCTAACAGGTAGAGTGCCCCAATCTAAAGAAACTGGTGAATCAGTTAGGGTATGCCCGTGCTAAGCAATAATTAATGGTTGCTTAAGGTCAGTACAGACTATTCGGGGTGTCTAGGTAGTATTGCAATGTCTAATGGAGTATTACAATCTTTCTTGTTTTCTGAATTTACTTTTTCTTTTGAAAATTCACAATCCTATATTCTAAGTTTTATCTTGAAAACGTTGAATTTAGATTGCTGATGCAGCCGATTTGATCATCAATTAACTTGCAGGTACTATTCCCTCTGTGCATATATGGGTGAAGATGACATGTTCAGTTCTGATCTTACTGATGATCAGCTGAGAATGACACTTGGGCATATGTGCAACACTCCTTGCCAGGTATGGACATTGCCTTCTGGTGGTTCTCATAGGCTATTCTTTTTGCTTCACATCTCAATTTGTGATGAACATTTTGTGTGAAGTAACCTAAGTGAGTTACTATGAGGATGTTACAAACGTGTGTGACATGAAGTTTGAAGCGAGTGGCTTCTGACCATTTAGATGAAAACATAGAACTAAGAAATATTGTATAGTAAGTAGGTCAAGTGAGCTGTCATAACTAGCATGATCAGTGTCAATGAGTCTCTCTGAGACTTTGACTGCTTGTGTTTTGGTTGACTATCACAATATGCTGGTGCAATTCACAATTTACATTTCTCAAACTTTGCAGGTTATCTTTTCGATGGCTGATGAGTATGTGCCAGAGTATGTTGACAAGAAATCTTTGGTTGAAAGGTACTTGCCGAATCATTTCTCGTCTCTCACCTTTGAAACGGCAATGCTTGTCCCTTTTGCCTCATTTGAGTAATTCAAAACCTAATATATAGGTTATTGACTTGAGGTAGCTAATATGAGAATAATTTTCAATTATTGCTGATAAGAGGTAGATGATGAGGACTTTTACCATTGAAGTGGAATGGGATAACAGGGTATGTCTTCAATCAATGCAGATTGTGCAGAGCCCTGGGTGGGGCAGAAAAGGTTGAAATAGAGCATGGTAATCACTCGCTCTCTAACAGAGTTTCTGAAGCTGTCCAGGCTATTGTTGACTTTGTCAAAAGGGAGGGTCCCAAGGGTTGGGATGATCCATGGACCTAGCACGGCGCCTTTTCTACTTCCTACAACGTTTTTGCTTTACTCTCCCGTTTTTTTCCTTTTTAAGTCTCCAGGCATGTTAAATTTTTTTAATTCTTTTTTGCCTTTCTTTTTCCACATTATATTATCAATAGTTTCCATCTTGGTTTCCCTCATTCATTTATTTTCTCATTGTTAAAACTGTAAAGCAGTGAACCTTTGATTGGCTGAAGGGGTTGCCTTACAATTTCAATCATCAAGCCTGATTTTGTAGTTGTATGTTTTTAGAAAGAAATGGTCATATTATCAGGTTTGACTTTGTTTTGCTTCGACAGACCCAATTTGTGATGATCTGTTTATTTAGGAACGAATTTTCCACGACTGCATCATGCGTGTGTTTGTGTATATATAGAGAAATTAGGGACCAATAACATACTTGACTGTTTACTGGGTATTGAGATTGATATTTAGGTCTTCCATTTATTTGTCTTGTAAATCTTACTTTGATGCTATAGTAGCGGCTTGATATGGAGCAAAACTTCCTGATAATATAGGAACCTCTTGGCTAGTCTTCACGCACAATTAGCCAGCCACAAAGTTTCTGCATCCGGCTAAAATTGCCTTCCTTTGCCTATGTGCATTGATTGAAGAGTTTAGTTGTATTGTTTGCGAAGGTTCATCTTTGTAGGTGATCACATGATCCTCCCACTTTGTACTACAGGCCATCCAAAATTATACTAGCGAAAACCTAAAGAGAGTTACAGCCTCACCAATTGTTGCTCTCTGCCTCTTGTCATCACAATGAAGTTCCTCTATATCGGTAAATTGTTTACCTTTCATTTTGTCTTTATAGGACATTGTTCTGAAAAGAAGTTATCTGAGGGGATATACGATATTGTTTCTGGGTATGTCCCTGCTGTTCACAATAGTACTTAGCAGACCAGCTAAGCCAGGGCCAAAACCTAACCTAGTAGAGGCAAGAAAATCTCCAATCCATGGTAAAATAGCTAGGAAAATCAAGCTCAGCAAGAAAAGTCAAAGGTTGGGTATTGTGAGTGAACGAATCACCTTTCAGGAATTTGGGAGAACCCATAAAGAGAAGCCAATACAATCGTAAGTGGTGGTTTCAACTCCAATCGAACATGTATAGGAGGCAACTGCTCCCTTTGCTATCTTGTCCGCAAAAGTGCAAAAAACCCTAGGAAAGCTATAAAAGCAAAGGCACATGAGAAAGGAAAAGGAGTGAAAGAATGTTACATCACTTGAGGCTTTTGGTGAAAATTCTTATCCCTGGCCTTCTTCTTTTACCTTGCGAATCTGCTATCTTTTGGGGCCAAATTTCCCTTGGGAAGCTAACCATGCACGACCCCCAAACAAAACAAAAACAAAAAAGGTTAATCGCGCACATTCAAAGGTAAGATATTGAAAAGAGAGGGAAAGTTTAGTAGGGTCCCGATTGTTTTGGTCGTTAGCTAATTGAGTCTCGAATGGTTGTTGGCTAATCAAGTCTCGAAACTTTTTGAAAGAGACGCATTCGAGGCTTAATTTCATCGCAGGCAATAGTGGGTCACTAAAGAATGGGACAGTTTCGGCTTTTCACAAACTTAATTATGATTTTACCGTCATCGGTAAGTAAAACGCACGGATTTTGTTGATCATTGAGATCAAAGCTTGGCTATGATACTCAATTGAAAATTAAAACACGAAGTTTATGTGAATAGAGGGTATAGCAGGATCTTGTGCATCGATCTTTTCCGGTTTACTTAAAATCTAACTATCATTTTCCAACAAACTCTCATAATCGAGTGGCCCACTCAATTATCAACAAAATTTATGCGTGTTTATTTTCCTTGAATATGGTCGAAATCATGCTTAATTATATAGATAAGAAATCAAAAACCGGCAATCAAATGTCGCATGCAATGAGATTGTGACTTTTTTTGCGCCTCCTTCAAAAGACTTACGACTCAGATGACTGAAACAGAATAACTAGGATCCAAGCAATTGACGACTGAATATCTAGAATTTCTACTGTATTTATCCCGTGAGGAGAGCCTCGTGAAGTGAATCACCGCCTAAACAAATAAAAACATTTAATATGAGAGGGAAAAAAAAAAAAGCTAGAAGCGGCCAAAAAGTGAAATCAAGAGGGGAATATTTGCAGTGGAAGTCAGCAATGTCTAGGGACCAAGGGACAAGTCAAGAATCTCAGCGGACTGGATTACTTTTATCATAGAAGGATAGGAGCCAAAAAACTGAAATCGCCATGATCTTGTATGATTTTCTTGCCCTATGTTTTGGTTTTATTACATACATATAATATGGTCCATCTGATCTTCTTCCAAGGGGGTGTCTTCAGTTGTGGTCCATTCAGATTTTTGTGGATATCATATAGTTAAAAATAGATAATATTTGTGTCCAGAGCTATTAAAAGACAGGCAATTCTTATCTGTTTGTGAATGGTCTCTTGTGTGCAATGTTTACTATATATGTGATTTATTTACCCAACTAATTTTCCCAGGATTGTTTTCTGCAAGAAATAAGGCTTTGAGAAATATTCGTACTTATCTTCGGCATATTCAATTACCAATAACAATATCCGGCAAAAAATAATTATCATTAAGAATTTGCATTCGATCTTTACCGGAGTAAGTATCCTTTTCTATTTTGTATATTCTATATTATAAAGAGAAAATTGAAGTTTTGTAATCACTTATTTGGCCTTTATATTTATTCCTACATTGTAGAGTAGAAAGCCACTAGATAAGGACATAAGAATAATAAAAACATATAAAAAAAACTAAAAGTTTCCTTCAGTTCAAAAGATAACCATAAATCTCCTGAATCACCTAGCTTGAACGTAGCATGTGTCTCAACACTAATATGTTAATTATATATAGCTAAAGTCCAAGTGACAGAATAATCGCTTATAAACTCGTTACGTGGTACTTCACTTTACTTCTCTTATTACCTGTGGCCCATTATTAAATTGACCGGTACTCCCAAAACTTCTATAATCTAATCGAGTTCAAAATTTAAACTTCCAAAAATGGATAAAGAGAGAATATCCTCAAATAATCTTTGTCAAAAAATAGTTTCTTGGATGAAATAAATCTGATATAGTTTATTTCATTTTGCTTTATCTATTGCCTAAGAATAAAATAAATGATTTCCTTTTATTTAACTCGGCACAACTTATGTGATGACGAATGAAGTTAAGTAATACAGTTTCCATAATTCAACAAAATCGATTTAACTAATGATATAGTTTATCGCACTACATCAAAAAATTTTGCATTAACTTTAAGTCCAATATGATCGAACATATATATATATTGAATAAAAAATTATACCCTTGAAAAGTTTTTTTTGTTTTTTTGGGTCAAACCCTTGAAAAGTATTATAAAAGTAACAATCTTAAGGGGCTCTTGTCCCGAAAATTTGAAATACACAGACGAATAAAAATATAAAAATGTTGAAATTTTTATGCCCACCAATCTGGATGATCCCCAAGCAGAAGACCATGTGACTCTGCTGGGAAACCCTTGAATGCGCAGTTAATTGCAATTGCAGGTTGCATGACTGCCCGAGATATTCCCTTCAAGAATATCAACCACAAGAGGACAAAAAATTGGTAGAAATCACATAAAATAAATAAATCAAAAGCCCGATTCAGAAACCCTAGACACTTGCATTGTTATTGTTAATTTGTTGTACCAAGATATCAAAGCCCGACAACATTTGCTTCTTCTAGGTTTTATTTTTATTTGTCCTAAGTTCATCGAAAAAAGTAAGCGTTTGAGAAGTTCCTCAAACCTTGTTAGGCGCCTAATCGATCCATTCATAAGGAATGTGAGCGGAAAGTATGACTAATCGGACCTCGGAAGAGGTTATATAATCAGGATTTATCCACCTTCCACGTGACTTTTACATGGTCTAGTTTTTTATTGGTGTCACGAACAAAAGTAACTTTAAAAGTGTGTGGCTGTTCAATCGCGGTTTGGCTGAATCTATCACGTTAGCAGTAGTATTTATGAGAGAAAAGCAAGGGGAAATTTACATTCACAAGGACAATGAGTTCGTCATGCGCTTACCTCAACTCATGCTCTATATGTAGTGTTGTAGACAGATGCGGAAAAACAAATACAGAACACAGGGATTTATGTGATTCGATCACAAGGTGATCTACGTCCACGGGCGAGGCAAGACAAGATTCCACTGTAATCAAAGAGAGTACAATTTTCAGAAGTTGAAACAACGATAAAAGCTCACGGCTCACAAAACTCTCCGAAAACAAAATTCTCTCTGTACATTAATGAGAAAACCTAGCCGCGGTATAAATAGTGCTCCCCAAAAAATTTCCTCGGGGCCGTAGCCCCCGAACCCCCCGAGACATTTGTTCGCTTTCTCCAGCTCAAGTGGACCGCCATAGAGATTTGTTCGCTTGCTACGAGTTGGGCCTATCGGCCCAACCCTCCGCGTCGCGAACTAAATCTCAATTTTTTCTCCACTTTTGGGTCCCACAAAAATATGTCAGGTTGGATGATGAACCGGACCGAGTACATAAAATTCAAGACATATTTAACATGTAGTTTAGGAACCGTTTAATCGAGAGAAATTGTAAATCGGGATTACCTTAAATTTGGATGAATCGATAAAATCTAAGTCAGGTTGCTCTCGATATGTGTTATCCGATTATATCTCTCAATCCTATCTTTGATAATATGACCTTCGGTTAAGTCTAACCAAATTTTGATTTCTTTGAAAAAATCTAAGTCAAAATTGAAGTTTCTACTTATGGCCGGAAGGACTACATTGAAATATTGTGCAACAATTTAGAATTAAATTGATAAAATTAAAAAGTTTAAGACCAAACCGACATCTGTTCAATAGGTTTAGAATTAATAAGATAATTTTCACATAAATTAATATAGCGGTCTAATCCCACTCTAGTTTTGAGAGTTTTAACTACCAATTCTCTCACGAACCATCGAGCCACTTGTATACTTCCTTCTTCTAACACCGACATTGTATGCTATAATTACTCCGATAACAAAATCGCTCACCTTAAAATGCCTCACACCGTAAGCAGTGAGGTTAGGTTTATGTGGTTTGGCGCCTGCATGCACAGTGCACGTACAACCAAAGTTTTGGTTACCAAACGCATCACACCCATCAACCTCATCTCTCTCATCCCTATGCAGCCTCCCATGTGGGATTCCCTCTCTCCCACTCGCCCGGTCAAAATATTAGCACGATTTCCCTCCTCTCGGTTTCACATTTTGTGGACCCAACAAATTCACCAATCCTAACTTCACCTTCAATTGTAGTAAACAAAAATAAAATATCATTTCGCATTCATTTATATATATGTTAATACATTGGGAATTGTGTTTGAGAACTTAGATGATAATCCTACCTAGAGTTCTTCGCGGGTAAGCTCGCGGATCTGACGAGGCTGAACCTTGCCTTTGTTCAAGAATCTCATTTGCCTTGGCTCATAAAAAGTCATTAAATAATATCATCGTGTACACATATACGAAGACTCTATTTGTTTTGTGGAAAAAGAATAATTTAAAAAATATTTTTCTAAAAATAATCGATTGTATCGCTTGAAATAACTAGGCGATGAGATTTTTTTTTATTAACGACAACAATTTATATCTAAACATTTTCGTGGACAGTGAAAACATTTTCTAAATCATTCATTTTTCACGAAATAAACGAAACCTATATATTGACCATCAGATGTCGCGTTGTTTCGATGTGACGAATTTGAGCTAAATGGAAGCCTAGTCGAAGGGTGGGTTCAAAGGTTCGTATGGCAGGTTCAAGGGAGAGTTCCAGACACTCGACCGCCCCTCTAAATCGAAGCCCCGGCACCAAGGAAAGGCCGACAGCAACCCGAGTTGGTGCCCCGACCAGATAAGGCTGGGGAAAGAGATGGCCCTGCTAGAATGACATGTTGGCATTATGATCGATTGCAGGAAACATGAAGGGGTATGGAAGAGAGATCGGGAGAGAGATGGGTGCACTTTTTTACCCTAACTCCCCTTCTCCAAAAACATCTTATTCTGTTCGCAGCATATAAACATATATGAACAAACAAAAGCAAGCCCACTAAGCCTTCAAGTCCTCAAAGTTCACTAGAACTTCATCATAATTAAATCAGCTTCTGCCATTTTATGACAATGATCCCACTGACAAGCAAGCTTCAGTTAGCTTCTTCTGGTCATGGTCAAGATAAGAACCATTTCCATTGTGCACAATCCTTCATTCTTCCCACTCTCAAGCGAAAGGTCCACCTCCATCAACCGCAGAACCGCCCGCCATGGGTGGCGGCGCTCCTCTTTCGGGAGCTCCGTCACATCACATTGCAGCTTGATGTGTTCTCATCACTGAAGAAGTGGGTGTACTGATCCCCCGGTGGGGGCGGGTATGGATATGGGTACGGATAAGGGTAAGGCGGCGCGTAGTTGACTGCCGGAGGCGGCCGGGCATACATCATGGGTTGGAACCGCTCGTTGCCCATCGACCGTTGTTGATTCATTAAGGCGGCTAAGTATTGTTGTTGTTGTTGCTGTTGTTGCTGCTGCTGCTGTTGCTGCTGCTGGAGATACGGGTTGCCCGGGATGACTGCCTGTCCGGTAGCACCTTGAAAGTAAGAGCCGCCACCGGCTCCGCCAGTGGGCAGGCCCTGAACGGCCGGGATGCCGCCCATTTGACCCACGGATAAATTGCCCATTTGGCCAATCGGGATATTCATTCCGCCCATTTGCCCTAAATTTCCATTTCCCATGGCCACGCCTTTTGGTCCCCCTATGTGGAAATTACCATTGTTCATAGGGTTCAACCCTTCGTTCTTTCCGCCACTGCCGCCGCCGCCCCCTCCTCCCTTTTTGCCATTACTGTTGTTGACATTATGACCACCATTTTGACCACTCTTGTTATTAGACCCACCACCACCACCATTATTACCAGTTTTGGCATCTTGAGGCAATCCTCCACCTCCATTTTTCCCACCACCTCCACCAGCTTGATTTTGATTTCCTCCACCACCACCTTTTCCTTTCTTACCACCATTTCCACCACCACTCACCTGAGCAGGCAACGCCACACCTCCACCTCCGCCGCCGCCGCCCCCACCGCCTTTCTTCCCTCCATTTCCACCAGCATTCCCTCCCGTCTGCGCACTCATCATCTGTGGATGATTACCATTCATCATCCCATTGAACATGAAATTTTGACCCAGGAGCCCCTGCCCACTCCCCATCATGGGCTTCATTCTACTGAGATGCTGGTGTGCATCATCCAGAGCATCGTCAAACTCGTCATAATAGTCCTCATCATCGTCATCATACTCGTCATCAAAATCATCGTCACACAAATCCTCCTCAGGCAAATTGAACTTCACTGTCTTCTGGCTCTGGCCCTGGCTCTGGTCCTTGAAAGGCATCTTCAGGTCCTTGAACTGAGGCAGCTTCAGATCTTGAAACCCTTTGATCTGTTGGAGTTGCTGGAGCTGTTGCAAGTTTGGAAATTGTTGATGTTGACCTCCCTTTGGCTGGTTGTTGTTGTTGTTCCCACCCTTTTGGGCCTTGTTGTTGCCACCCACTTTGCCATTGTCGATTTGCATGTTCTTGAGCTGGTTGTTGAGATGGCTCTGGTTGTTGTTCTTGTTATTGTTGTTGGGCTTTTGAGCACCCCAAATCTCTGCATGTTTTCCTGATTTTGCCAGCTTCTTGATGAGCAAAGCTGGGTCTACATTCCCTGCAACCGTCACTTTACCCTGCTCTGAGTCTATGGTGGTTTTGAACACACCTGCAACATTTAAAAGAACAAAAAAAATGTGGTTAACGTTAAAGAAACAAGGATCTTGAAGCTAGACAGGCTGAAAAATTAATTAAATTTGGTCAAAGAGAGGAAAAAGAATTAAGAGATCCACAGAGAAGAAAGGAGACCTGCTATAGTCAATTATAACGAGCAAATTAGAAAATTGACCCTAAAAACTTCATGTAAAAACAAAAAGTGCTGAAATGAAAAGAAGCTAATGACAAGACAAGGAGCAGTACCGTCAATCTTCTGCAAGATTTTCTTGATCTTCTGCTTACATCCATCACAGTGTATGTTCACTTTCAGCACGCAGGTCTGCAGGAAAAGAAAAATAAACAAAAAGGAAATGAGCCACCAGTGAAATAACACGGAAGCTAAAAAGAACTCACCAGGACAAATGGGCACAACAAGAAAGGAAGCAATGAGAAGCAAATTGCAAAGAAAAAGGGGGGAAAAACCAAAAAAGAAGAAGAAAGAAAGCAAAGACAGTGTACAGCAGGTAAAACGAAATGCAGAGGAGCAAAATACTCGGAGAGCTCTCAAATGAACTACATTTTTGTACAGAGAAATGGTGGAGGAGGGGTAGGAAGATGAGGCACCTGGATCTTCAAAATCTCTTCTTTACTCATGACTTGGAATTAGAGCAGATGGACACAACAATGTAGGGGGGAGAGGAATGTTGCTCCACAGATCCGAGGAACAGGAGGAGCTCAACGAGAGAAAAACCCCTGCTCTTTCCTTCCGGGCTCTCGCAAGAAGCAAAGGCAAATGCGTCTGCGCGAGTGACAGAGAGAGAGAGAGAGAGAGAGGAAGGAAGGAATGGCTCTGTAGCTCGTTCGAGCAAAGAGCTTTGGAATCCAAGAAAGGCTCAGCCTCAGAGAGAAAGAGAGAGAGAGAGAGAGAGAGAGCAGTGAAGTGTGAAGTTCAAGCTTCGGTCACTCGACAGTGGAGCTGCTTTGGGGCGCGGTTAACGGGTAAAATTTGTACCAGCCACGAGCGTCTAAGCCGTAGCCATGTGGCCATTGGGGCTCGTGGCTTTGGCTTGCGGGGGCGTGTCGGTGTTGGCTTGGCTTCGAGCGACTCCTTCTGTAGTTTTTCTTTGTCCTCTTCTCTGATCGGAACTAGAGCGCATCGGTAGACAGAACCCCCAAATTTTTGTGTACACACAAGATCGATGTTTGACCCGGCGTGGAAGCCAACATGTTTGTAAGATAAGCAGTAGTCAAGCGTGCGTTCATTTGGAGCTTAATCTCTTTCGTTTCATAAACGAATTATGACCCGTTTACGAAAGACAAAACATGGTCAACAAGTCTCGATAAGATATGATTAGATGTAGGTAATGACATGTTTTATGTATTTTTAATGTCGAACACGTTAAGCGTGTCGTGCCGTGTTACTTGCTTAATTGACGGGTTGTGTTTGAGTTTTAAAAAGACGGACACGATCAATAAAAGCACCATGTTCAGATTAGGTCTTGATTTGCCCGGTGCGATTATAACATGAGGACACGAATCACTAGCCTTAAGTGTAGAACCCTATGTTACCTAGTACAGATGCACAAATGGTTGATGTGGAGGCTAATTATCGGTGGGATTAAAGAAGATGGAAAGTTGAGTCAAATGTGACACATGAAAGCTGTAAGAGAGTATAGAAAGATCGTTCAATATATAACTATGAGATATTTATTTTGGATGTACGACATATTTTTCGTTGAAGTTACTCCTACGATCTATTATTGCATAAAAATAGAGAAGTCAAAATATATGGAAGAAAATAATTTTAATTCAATAGTTAACCATATGCTATCCCGAATATTGCCTTGACCCGCATTATGGATGAATTATTCATTTAGCATATACTATGTTTGATAAGATCCACGATATTTTAATGTCGAATTATCTACACGGGCGATGTTATCTTCATGATACGATGAATAGATAATCGGAGCAAGAAAAAAGACACGAAACTCAAGGAAGACATATGATCAATGTATATAAATACGAAATAGCTACATCTTGGTAATAAGATAACTAAATATCATGTTTGACAAAAATGGCACCCTTATATTGACAATAAGCGAAACAAATTAGGAATCTATTTTTACAAATTGAAATGGTGGGTTACGGCGTGGATGCGATTTCTCCTAACAGAATAATGACAAGGCAAGCTCAACCTGATCACCTAATCAGTCGAGCAAATCGATCAAGATGGAAAATTACCTCAAATCGGGTTTAACTACAACTTTGTCATTACAAATTCATTATTTCGCAGCATATTTCTTTTTACGTACACTTATCGTAAAATTCAAGATAAAATCGACAATTTGTGCATGACGAATATTCTTCTTAATGAATCGCATCTCGTGCATTCATTACTCAACAACACACCGTGATCTCAAATGTCTTTGTAGAATCAGATCATGACGATCCTACGAATTACACAATTCAACTCAAACGCGGCCTCAAAAGGTAAATTTGGGCTACTAAGGGTGCGTTTGATAACTATTTTGTTTTCGGAAACAATTTCTACTCAGAAATGATTCTTTTTTATTCTGTGCCCAAAAACAATTTCTGAGTATTTGAAGGCGTTTGGTAACTGCTCAAAATTTCTATTCGTAGAATATAAAAAGAACATAAATGCGTTTGGTAACTGTACAAAATTTCTATTCCAAATTTTTTTCAAGTGTTTTTTTAAACTTGGTATTTAATTCAGATGGAGCACTCACCAATTTATTTTTTTCTTGTAAGTGAAGGAAACATGATGAACATGGTGATATGTATATACTTGGCATATACATGGTGATATGTATAAACATGGTATATAATTGGTATAAACTCTTCCTTCTATCACTTCTATCAGTGCTCTATCTCAATTTGAAGTACATACTGTGTTTTTTCTAGTGCTTTTATAATGGCCGTAACTCTTTCTCTTATTGCTACACTGCATTGCACATGCATGAATTGTCAGTGAAGAATTTTTTACGAAAAGAAATGATAATTATTTGACAATGCAAGATAAGGTTCATTTTTCAGCAGTTTGCCCAGTAGGGAAGTCATTGCACACAGTTTGCCAAATGTCTTCTTTGGAAAGTTGGACGTAAACATTGATTCTTACATAAACATGCGCAGCACTTTAAAAAATTCCAAGTGCACACCAGATATGCCATGAGCAGAGGAAGCTGAATAAGTAAATTTGGAGTACCAAATGAACTACTCTCATCTCATGGTGATATGTATAAACATGGTGATATATATACAAGAAATGCCACTAAAATTCATTGCTTCGTGCTTAAGTGTACAACCTAAAGGTCGTACTTAAACAAGTCAGCAAACAAGAGAGGCACTCAAAAACTCAAGACACATAAGGATCCTCTCCCATTGTCATCTAGTATTTAAAAATAATATTACAAAAGTCGGAAACACAATATCATGGAATCTCGGGCATATTGTAATCCCTTGCCATTTTATTTGCAATACTTTTTCTAAGAATGTTTATCTCAGATGCTTGCTCATGTGATGTATCATCTGCAACCTCCACTTTTCTAGCTCCAAACGGGTACTCCGGATCTCCATAAAAGGAAATGTTTTTGTCCATCCTGTTCTAGTCATGAATGTAATTATGGAGAGCACAACATGCAATTACAATAAGTGCTTGCTTTTTAATTGTAAATGGAGGCATGTGTCTTAAAATGGTGAAGCGATTCTTTAATGCCTCAAATGACCTCTAATGACATTCTTCAGTAAAGAGTGCCTATGGTTAAACAATTCTCTTGATGTTCTTGGCCGTCTCCCACGCCCCCTATAATTGTTCAAATGATACCGTTCACCTTTAAACGGAGTTAAAAATCTCGGAAGTTTTGCATAACCAAAATCTACCACGTAGTATTTGCCTATAACATGGTATATATAAATTTGTTATGATATGCAACCATAATACAATCATAAAGAAAGTTTCTTCTTATAGACAGAACAAATACCTAAAGGTGGTCGAGGAAATTGCAGTCGAGGAGTCTCGAGTGCTGCCGAAAGCACCTGACAATCGTTGGCTGATCCTTCCCACCCAGAATACACGAAAGTAAACTTCATATCAAATGAATAAACACACAGCACATTCTGGGTGATGTTCTCTTTCTTGCCTCTAAATGGGACCTGCTGAGATACAGGGACGGAAGCATTGATATGGGTGCCATCAATAGCACCTACGCAACCCTGTGCATTTATGAAAATCTAATGTTATACAAGATTATCAACTACATGTATTTGATAGTATAAACTCTAAAAATAAAAATCATACCATGAAGTATCGTTTATAATTATGATTCATAAGAATTTCCTGTGGGACAACATCAAAGGACGATGATTTGATAACCTCTTTTGAGAGTTTGAGAATTGCTTTCAACACTATATTAAAATACTTGCTAATTGTTTTTCCTAAACGTTGGAATCTCTACAATAAATCTCTATTGGAGTTATTGTGACAAACCATAAATAAGAAGATCATAACCTATTCATCTATTCTAACATACCGACTATCTTTCAACCAACCTTTTGCCCTCATTAATTCACTTAGGTTCAAAAAAACATGTCTTTCCATCCTAAAGGCTTCATATATTCTATTCGAATGTCCACAAACAATCTCCCTTTTCCATTCGGATCCTGGTAGCTTACTATCCCTAATAGGTTCTTTCGTATGCATTGACATGTCCTCCGCAACGATGCACAACCATGCTATCAATATGTGAAAATCATCATCATTTAAGAATTGTTCATTTGGATCTACCTGCCAATTAGACACATTATTTGATCTCCCTTCCATAGTACCTATATCATCACACAAATACAAGAACATCAATATAGATATCTATAAAAAAAATCCAATAACAACCGATAACATAAGTCGTAGAGTGAAAGCAAACCAAATATATAAATAGCACCCAAGCAGTTTGTCGTACCCATGGCACCACAAAAGTACAAGAGTCTCGAGATCAAAATCTCTAAAAACCAAATATCAATTACTAATATAAGTCATACAATCAAATGAAACCCCATGCAATCCACATTACATTTCCCAACATCTACTAAAGAGATTGAAGAAGTGCATTTTTCTATTCAGCTGTGGTTTTGATGAAAGCCTCCCTCCATGTGGCACTAACATATGCTCGTTTCACTACTTTGCTGTAAAGATTTGGTCCCAACTCAGGCATACTAAGTAGGCCATCAATGACAGCAGATACGGAGAAGGGGTCCACGGGTGGTGGTGTGACCTGTGAGGTGGCAGAGCCACTCACAGATTGACTTGCCTTAGGTTTGATCAGCTCCTGTATAGCTTTGCAAGTGTCAGCAATGCAAAATGAGGTACTCTTTCTTCTCCTCTTGGCATTTGGAGTCCTATCTAATTTGTGCTTGTCATGAACTGGAGCTGTAGTATTGTCGGATGTAAAGATTGTCTCATCAATGTAGTGCTCACTTAAGTCCTCTGGATCACCGTCTGCATCACCACCATTGTCACCTTCCTTTGACATCGTCAAATCTTCGGCATTTCCTGTGGCATGATCCCCGGTAGCATATGTTCCACCAAATACAATACACAGCTCGGGATACTGGGAAAATTCATCCTTCTTGAATTTTGTCCACTCACTATTTTCCTTTAATTTTCACAATAATGACATATGTCAACCACATAATCAAACATTTTAAAACTTACATCTACAATGACATCAAAATAATCAAAAGTTAAAAGATACCTTGATGTAAGATTCCCAAATAGTTGAATTGTCGACAACTTATGTTTTATTCACATTATCCCAGTCAAATTCGGATTGCAAAAGAAGCTTCTTAAAACTACCATACTGTTTTCTCAGTTTGTTCACCTTGAACTTCAACTGAAGTAGGGTATATTGGTATTATGTTTGTTTAATAAATTCAGCCTGTATTTTATTCCACCCAGCTTTGTTGTAAGTATAAGAGGTGCGATTTCCCTTTTTGACCTCCTCAACCAACAAACTTACAAACAGGTTGGTTAAAGGCTCGGTCCACTTTGCATTGAATATCTCTTTCTCAGATGCCATGTAACCTTGATAAGTTGAGAATCATATGAATTATGCGTTAAATCAATCACATAGTCATGTAGAAGTTACCAGCAATACACGCAACCATTCTCAAGAGAAGCAACAGCACGAGCAAATTTGGAAAATACAATCTCAAACTACAATTCGAGCTAAATAAAGAAGCATATGTTCTGGCAAAGCTAAAGGCACAAAGAAGGGGAAAAGGAAAATGGCATAGGGATACATCATAGTCAAAACCAAAATCAGAATCTGTAAAACCAAAATTGTAATGTCTAGAATATAACCCAGAAGAAAGAGCTTGGGATAAGAAGAATGAAGAAACTTTGGGCACGCATAAGAGGAAAACTATTGTGGGAGAGCAATGATCTCTGAATCTACTTCGGTCTTCCAAGAGGTGGAAATGAATCCATTTAGATGGATGAGAACAAAAATATAAGAAACCAGACATCCCATGCCTGATCGTGAAAGATTCTCAATCCAAGGATTCAACCCAAAATCTACCTACCTAAAAATTTCTCAGCCCTGACTAACAAAGAAGACGCAACTGGACATGAAAAATACAAATTATACTTTGATAAGCTAATCCCATTTACTTTTGTCACAAAAAGAAGAGGTTAATCTTGTCTGCTCCCTGCACTGGAAAGAGTGTTAGTTGACAATTATCTCTTCCATGCTACTGAAATGAAAATCGATCTGGAGCAGCTAAAACCAGAATCTCTAAAACGAAAATCCAACCAGTGGACTAGCTAAGAAAGGCCCGACAATTGCACCAATCAACCAGCACAACAACTCCATAGTCCAAACAGGCTCAAAACTCTCTACAAGGCTCTCAGCTATCGAAACGATACGAATGATAACCAAAAATGCACATGATCAGCCGCCACTCTTGGAGAGTGATCCGAGAATGTACCCAAGACGAACCACGGAGTGGAGGCGACGAGGCAATGCGGTGTTTGCACGGAGGGGAGTTAAGGAGGGTCGAGCCAAAAGAGATGGAGGGCCAAAATCAACGCGATGGATCAGCACGTCAACCTGTACACACACCCTATGAGTTACGGCTAGCTAGGACAAAAAGATCGTTGCGCTCACTCGAGCAAGAGCGAGCCCAAATGGGTGAGGGCAGCGCTCACTTGAGCCTCGCCGTCGCCCAGATCAGCGAGCGTGGCGGCACTCGCTCAAGCAAGAGCAAGCCTAGATGGGCGAGGGCGGCACTCGCTTGAGCCTCGCCGTCGCCCAGATCGGCGAGGGCGGCGCTTGCTCGAGCGAGCCCTTGCCCAAATCGGCGACGGCTGCCCTCGCTCAATAGTGGCGACGGCATCCCTCCATAGTTGCAAGTCATCAGCAAGAACTCACCTTAAACGAGAAGCTTTGTCGATGAAGGAGCAGCCATCATCATGAAGGAAGATGCCGGTGAAGGAGCACCCGTCGTCGTGAGAAGAAAGCACCGGTGAAGGAGCAGCAGAACAAGCTCTGGGCATGTGTGAACTGCACGAGCATAATGAGCTATTTGTTGGTTTTGATTCTTTTTTTTGTTCCTGAATCAAGAAGCAAATTTTTTTTTTCTTCTTGATTCTGTTCCAAAACTGATTTTGGGAACAAATTTGTGTAAATTTGTGCCTGGAAACAAAAAATTTACCAAATATATTTTTGCTCTAAAACCAATTCTAAAAACAAAAAAATAAAATCACTTACTATTTGACCAGTTACTAAACACAGTCCCAATAACACAAGTTTGCTCTGATCCATAGCCTAATTACAAACTAAGGGTGCGCATGATAACCATTCTGTTCCAGAATGAGTTCTTGAAACAGAAATAGATTTTTCTATTTCTGGTTCCAGGATGAGTTTCTGAAAAAAGAAACCCGTTTGATATCGACCAAAAATTTCTATTTCTGGAACAGAAACCCGTTTGATAACAGCACAAAATTTCTATTTCCTAAAATAAAAACCCGTTTGATAACAGCACAAAATTTCTATTTCCTAAAACAAAAACCCGTTTGATAAACAACATAAAATTCTATTTCCAGGAACAAAAATCCATTTTTTTAGAAATGGAAGAAAATCCAAAAAATTCCTAAAAATCTCAAAAAAATTCAAAAAATCCAAAAATATTGAAAAATTCTAGAAAAATTCATCACAATTTCCAAAAAATAAAAAAATTCAGATTTCGGGAAAATAGGAAATTTGTTGAATTTTTTCAAAAAAAAAAAAAAATCAAAAATTTCAAAACTTCATAGAATGACTTAAAATACCTGTGGCCACCCACTTTTAGTGAAATTTAAATTTTTTTAGGTGCCCAAAAAAAATCAAAAAATCAAAAATTTCAAAACTTCACAGAATAGTTTAGAATACATGTGGCCACCCACTTTGAGTGAAATTTAAATCTTTTAAGGTGCCCAAAAAAATTCAAAAACTCAAAAATTTCAAAACTTCACAGAATGGCTTAGAATACATGTGGCCACCCACTTTGAGTGAAATTTTAAATTTTGGAGGTGAAAAAAAAAGAAAAAATAAAAAATTTCAAAACTTCACAGAATGACTTAGAATATCTGTGGCCACCCACTTTGAGCGAAATTTAAATTTTTTTAGTTGCCGAAAAAAAAATAAAAACATAAAAAATAAAAAATTTCAAAACTTCACAGAATGACTTAGAATGCCTCTAGCCACCCACTTTGAGTGAAATTTAATTTTTTTAGGTGCCCAAATGGTATTTTTGATTTTTTTTATTTTTTAATTTTTTTTCGGCACCTAAAGAAAATTAAATTTCACTCAAAGTGGATGACCACATGTATTCTAAGCCATTTTGTGAAGTTTTGAAATTTTTGATTTTTTGCTTATTTTTATTTTTTTCTGGCACCTAAAAAAAATTAAATTTCGCTCAAAGTGGGTGGCCACGGGTATTCTAAGCAATTCTGTGAAGTTTTGAAGTTTTTTATTTTTTATTTTTTCGGTACCTAAAAAAATTTAAATTTCGCTCAAAGTGGATGACCACAGGTATTCTAAGCCATTCTGTCAAGTGTTAAAATTTTTTATTTTTTGCTTTTTTTTTTATATTTTTTTCGGCACCTAAAAAAAATAAAATTTCCGCTCAAAGTGGGTGGCCACATATATTTTAAGCTATTTTGTGAAGTTTTGAAATTTTTTCTTTTTTGCTTATTTTTATTTTTTTTTGGCATCTAAAAAAATTAAATTTCGCTCAAAGTGGGTGGCCACAGGTATTCTAAGCCATTTTGTGAAGTTTTGAAATTTTTTATTTTTTTATTTTTTTCGGCACCTAAAAAAATTTAAATTTCGCTCAAAGTGGATGGCCACAGGTATTCTAAGCCATTCTGTGAAGTTTTGAAATTTTTTATTTTTTGCTTTTTTTAATTTTTTTCGGCACCTAAAAAAAATTAAATTTCGCTCAAATTGGGTGGCCACAGGTATTATAAGACATTCTGTGAAGTTTTTAAATTTTAGATTTTTTTGATTATTTTTTATTTTTTTTTGGCATCTAAAGAAATTTAAATTTCACTCAAAGTGAGTGGCCGTGGATATTCTAAGCCATTTTTGTGAAATTTTTTATTTTTATTTTTTTTTAATTTTTTCGGCACCTAAAAAAATTTAAATTTCGGTCAAAGTGGGTAGCCACAGATTCTAAACCATTCTGTGAAGTTTTGAAATTTTTGATTTTTTGCTTTTTTTTCCCACCTCAAAGATCGTGACTTCCAGATGAATATGTGTTTTGAAGAAAGAGTTCTCTCGGAAATGATTCTCATTTTTTGTCTAGAAATAGAAAATCTACTTTTTTTTTGTTCTGATTTCTGGTTCAGAATCGGTTCTGGAATAAAAAGTTGTCCCAGAAATAGAAAAATGCTATTGCGTTACCAAACGGATTTATGTTCCAAAACTGTTTCTGAGAACAGAAAACTAATTTTGGACAGAACAAGAATGATTATCATGCGCTACCTAAATTGCCTTGGATTCACCGAGTGGGATTTGATTTGTGGTCAATAAATATGGTCATGGCGAGGGAGGGGACTCGGCTACGGGTGTGATCTGACGGATTTTATTACTCATGACCAACCGCAGAATCGGGGGTGGGAGTCTGTCAGATTCTGAATCCAAAAGTAGTCGTGCATTTAATTGCGTTATTTATTGAGCTAGATTGGCCTAGTAATAGAAAGAAAGAAAGATAAATGGACTGCGATAATCAAATGTACAATTCCTATGTAGAAAAAAATAATGTGGTTGGAGGGTATGCTACTGTATCTTAGAAATTTCCCGTGAAGGAGTAAGTAGACCAGTCACCAGTTCATTTACTAAATTTCTATATTGAGCTTACATGACAGAGTATTGATGAATTTTCAAATAAGTGGATCATGCTAAAAGCTTGATAAAAGCCTACCTCATATTGAAAAGTCGAAGTTTGGTGCTTTTGTTTTGGACATTTTTAAAAGTTTTTGCTAATATTATATTATGAATATGTGTATCGGAATTTTTAAAATTTGATATGAAAATGTAATTGAATCCTAAAAGTTTTAATAAGTACAATCAAGTCTAAAAAATTGTCAAACTGGTACAATCAAAATTTTCATTTAACTTCGACTAATTTAGCTAATTGAAAATGCTGATGTGGCTTTTTTTATTATTTTTTTCTTTTTTTTACGTGATGTTAATGTTAACTAAAGCATCTAGTTCACTACTAAAATGACGTTGTCTTGGTTCAAATCATAATTTTTTTACACCAAATCTTAGTTAAATTAGATTAAGAAAAGAAAGAAGGTTTGATACAAGGAATGCAAAGTAAAAAAAATAAAAGTATAGAAAAACTAGGGCCTACGGACCCTTGCCTAGTGAGGTTGCACCTCACCAGAAATGGTTGGCGAGGGCATGCCGGGGCTTCAGCATGGATGGTGACCCTTGTTAGCCACAGGTTAGGGCTTGTATGCCCTCACTTGGATTTGGAAGAGGGCTATGTGAGGGTCAAGGCCAGCCATCATTGATGCCCTAACGACTAA